GGTGGGCACTTACTGTAATAAAAGCACAGAACCTAAGGAAAAGGATGAAAGGGGAAAACTAGCAAAGCTAACTTCTCCTTTCTTGTGGAGAGAAGCCTGGGCGGAGGCCAGTGAGTAGCTCACAGGCAAGCCCAGTGAGTGGGCTGATTTGGTGGCCCAGGTACAGGCTAAGAGTCTGTTCCTGGCTGCTGGGCATGGCCAGTGGTACCCAGGAGTCCCCAGCCTACCAGGCCTGAGGGAATGAGAAGGTGCCATCGAGAGGCATAGAGGAGACAGGTGCTGGCTGTGGACCCAGGTTGGTAAGAGCTGAGGATAGTTAGGGCCTCAGCTTCACTTGATCTTCTCTCTGATTGTGCTTCTTAAATGCTGGCTGTGGGCACATGTCCCCAGCTTGTCCATCGCTCTGTGAGAGCCATGGTGCCTGGCTAGCAGCTCAGACCCCGAGAGCCATTTTTCTCCTTTCCGCTCCCCACCCCAGGCAAGCCCAAGGAAGCTGAGTGTGGGAGTTTGTCTTGTCTACAGAGAAAAGTGATGGCTCTTAGCTCTTGGCACTGCAGACAGGAGGCCTAAGAGGAGAGCAGGGATGAGCGTCTGGGGCTGCCCCTCCCTTGCCTTCCCTTGGTTCTTTCAGCTTCTCTATCTCCACGTACCCATTGATATCTCAAATCCTGTTTCCAAGAGACTCGTGTCCCTGCCCCTGGGACTGCGGTACAGCCCCAGAGCTTCCCAAACGGGAAGGGTGTGCTCGGGCACCAGTGTCCTCCTGAGTCTCCAAGCTGTCTCAGAAGGCAGAGCTGGGAGCTGCACCCATCGAAGGCACGACCTGGAAAGCTGTGTGGGATCGGGGGTGGGCATTTTAAAGCCTTACCTGGCAGTATAGACAGAGTTTTACCCTAGCTGAAATAGTGCTTGAGGTGATAGCCGACAAGGCATCTGGATTAAGCTGTAGGAGCTGCCCGACTTGTCCCTACACTTGACCGTTTTCCGCTGAGGGGACCAGCCCATGCATCTTAAAACACCAGGAAAGCAGCGAAAGGGAAGACATCTGACTGGCAGGAAGACTTCTCACCCTAGCCTTTGCTGTTCCCATGACCCTGTGTGACTCTCCAGAGGAGCTGACGGATGTCCCCACATGACCTGCCTTTGACTCACTCCCCCCTGCAGCCTCAGGACTTCAACTGAAGTAAAACTTCGGAGGCTCTTCCTCCATTGCTCTATTCCCCTGCAAACCTCTCTTGCTTGATGCCATTTCCCCTGCCTGGGCCTCTTCTTGCCCAGCGAGGGCCTGTTGCTTCTGCAGGAAGCCTCTTCCTTCAAGCCCAAGCCAGATAAGCAGGAACAAATCACTGGAGGCCCACCAGCTCTGGAAGAGCCCAGGCTAAGCAGTTGTGTGGCCAGGACATCTCTTGGAGCTGGACTGTCTGAGAGAGCACCGCCTCTCTGCTGAACTCCATCGCCCTGCCCACAAGACTTCCAAAACAGCTCTGGCCCAGGAGTCTCCAGGGCAGAATGTGCACCTGAGGCTGCCACCAGGTTGTCCAGCATGGCAAGTGCCTGCCACTTAAGGCTTCTAAAGAGAGGGGGTCTTCCTCACCACCTGGGAGCGTCGTCAAGGTCCCAGGAGGCTAAAAGCGTGAGAAAAGCCTCTCCCCTTTGGACACCCTTCTTCCTTGGCCAGCACAGGTGCCCTGGTGGCTGGGCTACCTCAGTCTCTCAGCACCCTGTGTTTAGGTTGTATTTTCTCTGTATTTCAAGAGAGAGAGCTGGCTGGGTCTCTCCTCGCCCATCTTTCCCTTGTCTGCATTCTCTAGGACCGTGAATCAGTTGTCCTATGAAATGAAGGCATACACTTTTTTTTTTAAGGACATTTTGGTGGGGAGAACCATGTAATGCCTGCCGAGCCCTTCAGCCACGGAGATCCACCATCCACTCTCACTGCCGTCAGGAAATCATGTCCTAAAATAGACAGGGCTGTCAGCCTCTGGTGACCACAGGCTATTCTTGGGCAGTGCTTTGAAAGGAAAATGATTTATTAAAAGCAGTGAGGCCCCAGGTTTTTGCTGTCCTGCTGTGGGGGAAAGTCCAGCGCCTCTGACCCAAGGTCATGAGTGAGTTCCCTGGGGAGGCAGAGACCTGGGCCTCACGTCTGCTGTCTGCCCTGCCCCACGATGGGCCAGGTCATTTGGGTTGTTGTCCTGGCTACAAACAACTACAAAAACAAAGCTGGTGTTGGGTGTTCTCAAGATGGGGAGGAGGTCACCACAGGGAGGGCAGAGTGACCAGACATGGTGTCTTCAAACAGTTAAAGCCTGTGTGACTGGATTAAAATGCAAAATAAACGCAAAAAAAAAAAAATCCTCCAATTGTACCAAATTAAATAAGGAAACTCGGTCTCTGGTGGGAATGCCCCTCCCCCCTTTTCCTGGGGCATTTTCTCTTCTGGACAACTAAGACTCCTCAGGAATACTCAGCTCAGTTCATGCTGAGGCTGGGAGAAAGCGCTGTCCCAGGCTCGGGCGCTGTCCCCGCCCCCAGCACTTGCATCTCAAAAGCTACCAATGAAAAAGCGGAAGGAATCCATGACCTCATCAGGAAGGCTTCTCACTGGTTGTTGCCGCCTCTCCTCTCCATCCCATTGGACATCTAGAAAGCTCCGCTAGCCCAGCTGCCTAAATGCAGACTGTGGAGTTCCTAGGCAGGTTTGCAAACTTGAGCATCCTTTAACAATGGATCCCATAGCGGGAAAATCGTGAGGAGTCGAGTAATTCCGTTTAGCCCGTCAGGGTGCAGGTCTCCTGTGCTGAGCGCGTGACTGCCGGGATGCGGGTGACTGCTGGTACTGTCATCTTTCCTAATAACTTGGGTTCGAGCCTCAACTTCTCACTCTACCCACTCTAACTGCCAGTGAACCTCTCTGTTCGTCATTAACTTCTATTAGTGGTAAAATGATCAGGGTAAAAATTTCAAAACCAATGTGTCTCCTTGGTTCCTGGTTCCCCTTTAAAAGTCTGGATGTGAAATGAACCGCATTTGTGTGTATCTGTGTTTGCACATACACACCGACTGGGGACTGAAGCCAGGGCCCTGTGCACACGAGCATACACACCTGCACCTTCACTGAGTTACACTCTCAGCATCATTTGCCTGAATCACCCCAACTGCATCATGTAAATGAGACCACCCCACGTATGGAAGCAGCAGCAGCCCTGCACCTGATAGGCTAGGAGGCTCAGTGAACAGCCTGGTGTCCCTCTTAGGAGCCTGGTGGAGTAGTCTCTCTTGTATTTGAGTAGTTTCTGGTCTTTGGGTTCATGTACACATGTAAGTGTGAACTTATATGTCCCCTCCACTGTTCTAAGAGAGGGTAAGGAAGGTGCCAGATACAGGAACAGAAAGATGTCCCAGTGTTACACAGTGATCTCTTTCTTCAGTTTTTTTTTGTTGTTTGTTTGTTTGTTTTTTCTAATCTAGGGCTTCACTAAACAGCCCAGGCTGGCCATGGACTTGTGATCCTGCAGTCTTTGCCTGTTGAGTGTTGGCATCACTGGCATGTGCCATCCACGGTCTTGAACAGATAGCCACCTGATGGCTATGGTGTCCACATCACTGTGAGGTTAGCCTGAATGAAGCTGAGAGGTAAAATTCAGATCTGGTCTAGCCTGGGCCTTCTCAGAGGACACAGACTAAGTCATGTCCCTGGAGAGACGGCTTAGAAATGAACCCACGGTGACCCACGGTGGCCACGGGGCTTTTCCAGAGAGGAGTCGTGACTTCCTCAAGGTGAAGTTCCCCCTCTGATTATCCGTGCCTGTAAACCACAGATAATTTCAGGGAAACATTTCAGTTCTGCCCATGTCCTGACAATGGCAATAGTGTCTCTTGGTGTGGGAAACTGGAGGGCGTCCTACCTTTTAAATGGAAGCTGATGTGTTCAGATGTCTCTGGTGAGCCTTGCTAGTGGCTTAGCACCCTGGAGCATCCCGTGTGTTTCTAGAGTTCAAAAGCACCCCCCAGCTTTGATGTCCTCATTCTGGATCTGCCCTGAGCAACCAGCCAGCTTCCTTCACCCAACTATCCATGGCACGGGGCAGCGGATGGTGACTTAGGAGGCCAGCAGCTCTGGCACCTGATGTGTTGTCACCAAGCAGTTTTCCAGCTAGTCTGTCCCTGTGGTGGGCTCTGGGCTCCAGAAGTCACGGGTGCGGTTGGAGGGTAAAGGCAGCCCTGGACCTGACGGCCTCCATGAACCTTCTCAGCCCCAGCCTTTCTGCAGCTGCCCACCGCCTCAGCTTCAAATGGGCCACCCCACCCCTCCCTGGCCCTGACAACTGGACTACAAGGCTACTAGCAGTGTAAGGTCAAAGGTTAGAAGTAACTGCTTGTAGTGATATTTTGTTTGTGTTTTAACAAATAAAGTTTGCCTGAAGATCAGAGTGCAGAGCTAAGTCACTAGAGGCCAGGCAGTGGTGGCACACACCTTTAATCCCAGGACTCAGAAGACAGAGACAGAGGGATCTCTGTGAGTTCAAGGCCACCCTAGGCTATACAAGATTGAATCTGTCTTAAAAGAGAAACAGAGCTTCCACAAAGGTGATCCCGGCAGAGCTTACACAAAGGTGATCCCGGCAGAGCTTACACAAAGGTGATCCCGGCACTTGGGATCCCACGCCTTTAATCCCAGCACTAGGGAGGTAGAGACAGGAGTGATATGGCTGTGCTGAGAGAGGAATATGAGGCGGGAGGAGACAGGAGCTCAGTGCAGTCTGAGGTTCGGTGGAGACAGATGCAGTCTGGAGATGCAGTCTGAGGACAGGATGGTGCCTTCAATCTGAGCATTGGTAGAGGTAAAAGAACTCTCTAGTGGGTGTAATTGCAGCCGAAGGAAACCTCCAGCCAAGCGAGGAGGCCCACTCTTCCTCAACCATAGCTGCCCCAATGATTTGGGAGGTAGCGAAGGGCAGGGAGCTGGACTCTGAGGTGCCCCTGCGACCGGAGCAGCCATGGAGGACGAGATGCCCAAGACTCTATACATCAGTAACCTTTCCGGAGATGTGACTGAAGCTCTCATCCTCCGGCTCTTTAGCCAGATTAGACCTTGTAAAAATGGCAAAATGATTATGGATACAGCAGGAAACAACCCATACTGTTCTGTGGAGTTCCATGAGCATTGCCATGCAGCTGCAGCGCTGGCTGCTAAGAATGAGCGGAAGATAAAGGGGAAGGATGTTGAAGTGAATCGGGCAACAACCCCCAGCTGTCAAAAGAAAGAAACAAGCAATCACTTCCATGTGTTTGCTGGTGACCTCAGTCCAGAAATCGCAACTGGAGACATCAAAACAGCTCTTGCACCGTTTGGGAGAATGTCAGATGCCCGCATGGTAAAAGACATGGCTACAGGGAAGTCTAAGTGATATGGCTTTGTCTCCCTTTTCAACAAATGGGAGGCAGAAAATGCCATTCAGCAGATGGGTGGCCAGAGGCTTGGTGGAAGACAAATCAGAACTAACTGGGCAACCGGAAAGCCTCCAGCTCCAAAGAGTTCATATGAGTCGGACACCAAACAGCTGTCGTATGATGAGGTTGTAAGTCAGTCTCGCCCCAGCAACTGCACTGTGTACTGTGGAGGGATGACGTCGGGACTGACAGAGCAGCTAATGCATCGGACTTTTTCTCCGTTTGGACAAACAGTGGAAATTGGAGTCTTCCCCGATAAAGGATATTCATTTGTTCCGTTCAATTCCCATGAAAGGGCAGCACATGCGATTGTTTCTGCTAATGGTACTACCATTGATGGGCATGTGGTGAAATGCTATTGGGGCAAAGATATGATAAATCCCATGCAACTGCAGCAAAATCAAATTGGATATCCACGAGCATATGGCCAGTGGGGCCGGTGGTACGGAAAAGTACAACAGACTGGCCGGTATGCGCCTAATGGTGAGCACCTGCCCCCGGGATGCATGGCCAGCCGCGGGCCAGCAGGGATTCAGGCCCAGTCTTCTGCACCGTGGATGGGACCCAACTACAGTGTGCCGCCTCCTCAAGGACAGAATGGCCGCTTCCTAACCAGCGGCTGGGTATCGAGTGGCAGGGTATGAGACCCAGGGAAAGCAGACCACAGGATGGAAGCCAGGGGCTTGACGCCACAGGGAAGGCAGGAACGCTGCTGTTTACCTAAAGATTTACCAGATCAGTCCGTACAGATGCCAGATAACAATGTATTTATTTAAAAGATTTCATCTTTTATCATGAAATTACTTTTCATCCACGTTGTTTTCAAAAGGAACAAGATGGTGGATGTCTGCCAGCTTTTGCCTTCATTGTCTTTTTTGATAAAGTTCCCTGAGGAACTTTCAAAGACAAATGCGGGGATTGCTGCCACTCTTTAAGAATGAAGAGGCAGAAAATCACACAGTGTTGAACTTTTTCCACTAAGGTAGTGTGCAGTTTTAGTTTGCATTCCTGATAGGATTTAAAACATGTAATATAGATGTAAAAAGAAAAGCCACACTTGTGCAAAGTCTAGAAGTTCCTTAGAACTTTCAGCGTATGCACGGTTCTGTGTTAGTTTTAAAGAGTAGGCATTATGTGACCTATATCATCTCCACTGTTACCCCTTTGGAATTTTTAAATGTAAATTATTAGTTTATATCATTTTGTATCTGCATTTTTCACAAATTTGTCCTGCCTTATGAAAATTCTGTAAAATATTCTTAAATGAAAAAAAAAATGATGTTCACTTAGATTGAAAACTTTTCTCAGATGGACTGAAAATGACATTCATCTTGTTTTTATATGAGAAGGTGCCTCAAGGATCCCGTTGGATTTGTTTAAAGGGATTTTTATCTTCTGTGATAAACTTTGCCATCTACCAGGAACTATAAAAACAACAACTCATGACTAAGGAGACTCTGCAGTGTGCTCAGTCCTCCCCCACATCAGCCTCATGTGTCAGCATCCATGTTTACATGTGTGGTTTCCTAGGATAGTTCCGCAAGTTAGCAAGCTTTGTATGTCATTCCCTTCCTAAAGGTGTCATGAAGAGTTGACGTGAGACGGGTTTTACGTTTGCATGTGAATATCACATACTTACTTTGATGGTCTTTGATAAAAACTCATTTGTTCTTGTTTTTCAAGAATTTTGAGACACAAAGTTGTATGTAAAGGAATATATTAATTTGATGTTTTCTATTTAGATTTACTTAAAGAAGTAAATCCACTTTAATGTGTACAAATGATAGCTGTGAAACTGTAGAATATTCCTCTGTCAGGCTTGGGATTCATTAAGAACTCCAAAATTAGCCTGAAGGACCAGCCGGGCAAAACATTTTTTTAAATATTCAGAGGCCAAAATATGAACAAGCAAACAAACAAACAAAAACCCTTAAAATCCTACCTCCTTAAACAGCCATCAAAGAAGAGGCTCCTCACACAGGCTTGACTTGGTTCTTTGGTCCCTGATCTCCAGGAGCTCCGGCATTATTTTTGAGGTTTGCTCTTTGCTGGCAATGTTCTAGTCTTGGGATTTCTAGTTCATTTCAGAGTCTCTTGGTTTGGTTTGGTTTCAGTGATGACCACAACCTCCTCCTTGACATCAGAGAGGAAGGAGCCCCTGTGAATTGTGGGTTTTGAGACCTGCAGAGAGCTCCCCGCATTTTACTTAGGCCTGTGGAATTGGAAGCATTTCCTGGCCTGTATCTTCCAGGTAGGAGCACTTGACTCTAACCTGTTCTCTAAGCCAGTCCTCTTGGAAAGCAGAGCCCAGGAAGACAGCTTGAAATGTGTGCTTCTCTGGAGCTCAATTCTATGCAGTTGTGCTGATGTTTCATTAAGTCACTGTGTATTTTTAAGTACTAATACATTGAAATTTGCTTTATGGAAGATGAATAAATTTTTTAAATACTTTAAAATTTTATTTCTTTGTAAACTTCTACAGATCAGGACAGGCAATAAAAGCAGCTTAAACAAAATACTAAAAAAATTTTTTTAATTTGAAAAAAAATAAACCATAGACATCAGGAAGCTATTTTGGTTAATTTTTCTTTTTTTAGCTTTTTTTCTTTTCTCCTGCCTTTTGTTTAGTACCCTCAGTATTTTTCTCTATTAAAGAATTTTACTTCCTTTGCAACTCATAGACCACAGGATCATTTGAGCACAAGTAATTTATTTTTGTGCAAAAGTATAGTTTCTCTCTTCTTTTGACTCAGTACTGAGGACTTTTATTAGCAGCATGTTCTTGTTGCACAGATCTTAAAATACACGTTGATTTGCTGTTGAGAAGGTGGTGGTGACAAGTTCCTGATGACAAACTGACATTTTAGGAACATAGCTGGCGTTGGTTTAAATTTCAATGTTCAATCATTTAAATCATTTTCAACCTAAAAAACTTCATCCTGGTATAAGTATCAGGTAAGGAAATTAAGGTTTTTAAACTGAACTTCTTTGCAATATGCATTCAAATTTTACTCTCTGGTACTGTATAGAAGCTGAGTGACTCTTTGTGGGTCATGGAGCCAGTATTCTTTATCCTGACTGTTTGAATGTTAAAATTCCTTTATGTTTTCTAAAACAAAAAACAAAACAAAACAAAAAAAAACTCTCTAGTGACTGGCCGCTCTGCTTCTCTGATCTTTAGGCAAGCTTATTAGTTAAATCAATAAAATATCACTATAATTCCTCTCTGTTATCCTGTTTAAGTCTTATTGCTTCCTTTTAGATTTCCATCTCGCCCTTAAACTCAGAATGTCTGCTTCAGTTGGCGGGGATGCACGCCCCGGGGGGTATATCCTCAGGAGATTCGAGCCTGGGGTGTCTAATAGTGTCAGCCCACCACCTTCCTTCTGCTCCTTTGTGCTCTCTCTCTCTCTCTCTCTCTCTCTCTCAGACATAATTTCACATGCCCTAGGCTGAGCTCAAACACCATGCATTAGGAGCTGAGGATGATCCTCCTGCCTCACCCCCCGAGTTTTGAGATCATAGGGGTGTGTTACGAAGTCTGCCTTTACACGGAGGCCAGAACTGAACCCAAGGCTTTCTACTTGCCAAGTGATCACTCTACCAACTAAGCTACATCTCCGACTCTTTGATCATGTTTATTGAGTGCTTACTACATGCTAGGCATTTGACTCCTGGTTGGGGACACATCAGTGAAGAACGCCACACAAAAGTCCCTGCGTCCCTGCAGCTTCCCTTCAGTGAAGGCAGGCCAAGGATCCATTCCAAATGAGTGAGCTCAGAACAGCTGGTGGCGAGAACAACACCCAAGCAGAGTGAGGGGGAGAGATGGACAGAGGTTGTCTGAGACATGTTCTGAGGCAAAGTCCACTGGGAAGGGTGAGGGACCATGTGGAGAATCAGGTGAAAACTTTCAGGCCTACCAGGCCCAGACAGGAGCAAGGACAGCGGCATCGACTCCTGCTCTCAGCAGCACCTTCTCCTCCCTAGGAGCACCCTGTACACTGGCCTAGCCCACAATTTCCTCATCCTGAAGCTCTCCCCTGTCTGCTTGCCTTGCCCTGATTCTAGAGGGATGGGGATGGGGACACCAGGTTCTGTTACCATAGCTACCTGTTAGCCCTGACCTTCTGAACCCAAACCATCTATCTGTTCCTGGCAACCTCTTTCCCAGGGATCTTGCCTTAGGTCTGGCTTTCCTCCCAACCTCTTCTCTGTGGCTTCTTTTCTACCAGGCCCCAGGCAACAATTCTTCACAAGCTTGCCAAACTTGTAATTCCTGAATGAACGAATGCTCAGAGAATGCGGACCTAATTGCTATTACCTAGCATGAATAACCTCCTCCTCCTCCTGAATTTAAATGAGTACCACCTGCAGGTGATCTCACCTGTGGCCTTCTCTCATGGGTCACTTATGCCTCTTCGGGGATGATGTGGTGGTGGCCATCACAGGACCAGTGAAGGGCAAAGAAGAAGATATTACCTAGCTGGGAAGGGTCTTGGAAAGTGCAGGGCCCAGCTCTTGGGCTACACACAGTTCCAAAGAGTGTGGTGTTGGTTTCAGCTCAGCTTTTGTGAAGCCCTCAGGATGTGTGGTAGAAGTCATACACACACACACACACACACACACACACACACACACACACATATATATGATGGATCAAATGATAAATGTCCCCCATAGCCTTGGGCATTTGAATACTTTGTGTCTAGGGGATGGTACTATTTGGGGATGAGTAGGAGGTATGGCCTTGTTGGAGGAGGAATGTCACTGGAGACTTGAGAGTTTGAAGACTCATGCTGTTTTGAGTTTGTTCATTCTACTTCCTGTTTGAGGGTTCAAGATGTGAGCCCTCAGCTTTCTGCTTTGGCCTCCCTGCCTCTGCTCCACCCTCATGGACTATTACTTTTCCAGGGCTGGAAACCCAAATAAACTCTTCCTTCTGTAAGTCACCTTG